TGGGGTTGCGGCGCTCATCTTGCTTTACTGGCTGAGGGAGCCAGCGTACAGCTTCCGGGTCATGTAGCCAACATGACTAAGCCGCTTCTGGCGAACCAGAGCAGCACATGGAAACACCGCTTACCTTCACGCTGGAGCGGTATCTATTTATCTACTTGCACTGTGACGTGTTTTCAAACTGCTAGGTTGGCAGGAGCAGGGACCGAGCAATGGGAGCTCACCCCGTCGCGGGGATTCGAACCACCGACCTTCTGATCGGCAAGTCCTAGGCTTTGCGGTTTAACCCACAGCGCCACCCGCGTCCCACGCCTCACATAGGGAAGGGTTATTTCCCTCCCACCGTTCCCTCTCTTTTGCTGAGCCAGCAGGCATGCATACCCCTCCCATATTGGGTCGGGGAATGTTGATCATTAACAGTCTGCAACAGGATAGGGAATATTTGCTCATCCGCAGCTCCGCTGTCTAGCCTTTCCCAACAGCTGGTGTGGAACAACTGCAACCAGCTTCTTTTAAGTGGCTTGGAATGCTCAGCTTTGCAGAGCAGGGAGAAATTGCCCTTAAGCCTGATCCAGTTATGCCAGAGCAGTTTTTTTGGGGGGGGGGAGGGGAGCAAGCCAAGCGTATATCCCTATATGTTGTGCCTTGCATGGAGGTAGATGCCCCAGCTACAGAAAACTGCCTTCCACTGTGTACACATGGCACTGGAGAACTGGAGCCAGTCCTCTCTCCCTTATATTCTACTTTCTGGGTAGGAAGATAAGCCCCTGCAATGTGGCCCTCCAGGCCTCCTATCTGGCCCTTCCCAGCTGCACCCCACTCTCCGCAGGCAGTGTTAGAAACTCAGATATATAAGCTAGGCACCAAATGGCTCCTTAAACCAGGGTCAGTGTTGCCAAAACGGAATGCCTAGTTGCCATTTCTGGGCCAGATGGTTTGAAAGTCATATTTTTCAATGTGACTTTTTGGTTCCTGAAATTCATTCTGATTGTGCAGATGAAATATAATGGGTAGAAAATTCTGCAGGATGTGTTGCTGATGTGTGTGAAGACAGTCAAGGGAAGTTTTTAATGACTGATGTTTTAATGTATTTTTAATCTTTTGTTGGAAGCCGCCCAGAGTGGCTGGGGAAACCCAGCCAGATGGGAGGGGTATAAATAAATAAAATTATTTATTTATTTATTTATTTTTAAGATCTCCAGGGACATACCTCCAGATGGTGTAGACATTAGGCCAGGGGTCAGCAGACTTTTTCAGCGGGCAGCTGGTCCACTGTCCCTCAGACCTTGTGGGGGGGGGCGGACTATATTTTGAAAAAAAAATGAATGAATTCCTATGCCCCACAAATAACCCAGAGATTCATTTTAAATAAGATCACACATTCTACTCATGTAAAAACACCAGGCAGGCCCCACAAATAACCCAGAGATGCATTTTAAATAAATGCATTTATATATTTTAAATAAAAGGACACATTCTACTCATGTAAAAACACACTGATTCCTGGACTGTCCAAGGGCCGAATTTAGAAGGCGATTGGGCTGGATCCGGCCCCCAGGCCTTAGTTTGCCTACCCATGCATTAGGCAGCATTCTGCCCCCCCCCCCAGGGCATTTTCACTTGGTTGCAAGTGACCCAAAACCAGGTGCAAAACGCACCTGGTGAATTTCAAACTTTGCACCCTGCTTGAGTGATTTTGCCTGGCTGGAATGAGCCCTTGAGCTGTGACCAGAGGGATGCATGAGCGTGTCTAGAAACCAGCCTCGTACAAAATGTATTGTTTATGTTTTTTTTCTGATGACTGTTGCCTCCTTCCACTGCTGACATGTGGTACCCAGAAGGTTGCCCAGAATGGAACTTGGCCCATGGGCTGCAAGAGTTTCTCCACCCCTTGAGACAAGGTGAAGCAGCCTGGATGAAGAGCAGTGCAGGACAACCATGGCTCCAATCCTCATGCAACGAAGGGAGTTGAGTTCCAGAACAGTCCAGCATCACTACATAAACATCAGGGGGGATTGTGCCAGACAATTTCCTGCATGTCTCATGTTAATTGGATCAGACCCTCCAGAGTGGCTGGGGAAAGCCAGCCAAATGGGTGGGGTATAAATAATAAATTATTATTATTATTATTATTATTATTATTATTATTATTATTATTATTATTATTATTATCCAGGTGTCCCTCCTTTCCAGGGACAGTCCCAAATATCCAGGGATAGTCCCAGATTTACAGAAGCCGTCCCTGTTTCTGATTTGATCCCGGAATGTCCCACTTTTCCTTTGGACATCCCTATTTTCATCAGAGAAATGAGTTATCCAACTCCATAGCCATCTGAAGGCTGCCCTGTATAGGGAAGTTTTAAAATGTTTAGTTATGTTTTTATATATGTTGTAAGCTGCCCAGAGTGGCTGGGGCAGCCCAGTCAAATGGGTGGGGTAAAAAGAGTATAATAATAATAATAATAATAATAATAATAATAATAATAATAATAATAATAATAATTTATTATTTATACCCCGCCCATCTGGCTGGGTTTCCCCAGCCACTCTGGGCGGCTTCCAACTGAATATTAAAAACAATACAGCATTAGACATTAAAAACTTCCCTAAAGAGGGCTGCCTTCAGTTGTCTTTTAAAAGTAAAATAGTTGTTTATTGCCTTGACATCTGGTGGGAGGGCGTTCCACAGGGCAGGCGCCACTACCAAGAAGGCCCTCTGCCTAGTTCCCTGTAGCCTTACTTCTCGCAATGAGGGAACCGCCAGAAGGCCCTTGGCGCTGGATCTCAGTGTCCGGGCTGAACGATGGGGGTGGAGACGCTCCTTCAGGTATATAGGACCGGTATACGGGTATAATAATAATATTAATAATAATGAAAAAGGACGTCCCTATTTTCATCGGAGAAATGTTGGAGCGTATGTTGGAAGTAAGGGGAGAGGCGTGGCTCGGTAGCAGAGCATCTTTTGTAAAGATCCCTCTCCCCGGTGAGGTGTGTTGTGTCATGTCCTGGCTTGGATACGTTTACAGTAGCAGCTTTTGTTGACTGCTCACTCCCGGTGCTGAAATTCTTACTGCTTGCTGTCCAGTTCATGAAGCGCCAGCTGCTGGCCCCGCTCCACCGAATGTTTTCTGGTGATATAGGGCAGTCGGCACAGTTGCTCCCCTTCCTCGAGCGCTTTGCGTTTACTCTCCCTCTGCAAATAGACCCTGCACAGCTGCCCAGGATCTTGCATGCAACACAGCCCCTCCTGTGGAGCTGCTGAGAGGGTTTGCGGGGCCCAGAGCAAACCCAAATCAGGTCCCATGCTTCTGGTCTGGGGTGTTGGGGACGGGACTTGTGTACACTTTTATGCCTGCACCTGATTTCACTTACTGCATTTTCAGAAAAACATAAAGTTTCTTGGGGACTTTTTATGAGCACAAGAAGGCAGCAGTGCTTGAGCTCATTTCTTTTTCCTAAGCTGGGTTTCCTGAACTGGGTCTTTGAGGCTTGAGAGTTCTCTTCAAGCACAGGAAAATTAATTGCGCTGTTCAGCATTAGTCTTCCGATTTTTGTGCAACTAGCATGAAGGGCTGAAGGCTTTTAAAAAGTGTCTTTGACTGAACGTGCTTTGAAACCTCCCTTCGAACCGGTTCCCTTTCTTTGCTAATTGTAGATCTGAAGAGCAGCTGGAAGACTTTGTGGAGGGGGGGCTTTCAGGCATGCCCCACCCCCCACTTTTACTCACTGTGCATTCAGGTGAATGTTCGAGCACTTGCGATGTTCCTGCTCACAGGGAAAAGAAATCACAATTCTGCACATGGCTGGTGCAAGCAATCTCACACACGAGGAGTTCATTTGCACAGATCATGCGTGAACCTGCTTGCAAGTGGGTGAGGTGCTAAAATTTACTTTCTTTTTTAAAAAAAGAATCTTGCCCCACACAAAAACAAAGATCACTACAGCCAATCACAAACAAACAACTACACCTTAGGCCAACCCCAACCTCTCTCACCACCAAAGAAACACAAATGTACAGCAGAGAACCTGCACGAGCAACTCTGACACCAAACCCTACATACATTAAGCAAAATAGAGCTTAAGCTTTTAATGTTTAATAGATTATTGTATTTTAGTGTTTTGTTGGAAGCCGCCCAGAGTGGCTGGGGAAACCCAGCCAGATGGGCAGGGTATAAATAAATTATTATTATTATTATTATTATTATTATTATTATTATTATTGCCACCCGATCCCACCCGCACCCATCTTCCCCCCTCCACCCCTTCCTCCCCAATGTCTCAACAAATGAAACTGATTTGTAAAAATGTTACATGGAAAAAATACGAGAGACATTACACATACTTGTGTAAAACAAGAAAATCTTTAATAATAATAATAATAATAAAGAATCTTGCCATTCAAATACTCGAGGCAAATGAAATGGAGAACCTTTCTTCCCTAGAAGAGAATTGTTGTCTTGGCCGCTGTGAGGATGGAGCTTCTTGGGTGGGTGTGTATATGTGTGTGTGTGTGTGTGTGCGCGCTGTCGAGATCATGAGGTCTAGCCCCTTGGCTCCTCACTTAGCAGAATGATGTTTAAAAAGGTAAAGGTACCCCTGCCCGTATGGGCACTTGACAGACTCTAGGGTTGTGCGCCCATCTCACTCAAGAGGCCGGGGGCCAGCGCTGTCCAGAGACACTTCCAGGTCACGTGGCCAGCGTGACATCGCTGCTCTGGCGAGCCAGAGCTGCACACGGAAACGCCGTTTACCTTCCCGCTGGTAAGCGGTCCCTATTTATCTACTTGCACCCGGGGGTGCTTTTGAATTGCTAGGTTGGCAGGTGCTGGGACCGAACAATGGGAGCGCACCCCGCTGTGGGGATTCGAACTGCCGACCTTTCGATCGGCAAGCCCTAGGCGCTGAGGCTTTTACCCACAGCGCCACCCGTGTCCCAGAATGATGTTTAAATCTAAATTAATGAAGTGACAACCTCCCCCCCACTTTTTGTTTTTTCATTAAAGCTTGGACGCATCTTCACAGGATGGGTGCAGCGAACTTTCCAGAGCACCCACGCGGCGGCAGCCTCCCAGACGACCTGTGCTGTTGCTGATGAAAATAACAAGGCCCCTGACCCTGTTCCCGAGGATTGCCCTGTTTGCTCATACAACGAATGGGACCCGCTGGAGGAAGTCATTGTGGGGAGAGCCGAAAATGCCTGCGTTCCTCCTTTCTCTGTGGAGGTCAAGGTAAACCATGTGCTGTCTACGTCGCAAGACTTTATGTATGCCTTTTGCATCTTCCCACTTCTGCAAACCCTGGAGAGGTTTTGCAATAACAGGCTTTTACGATGTCTGTTTTGCTACGAGTACCGAAGACTTCTAATAGCATTTGCGGGATTCTTTCTGTCTGGGTGCCTGCCTGCTATCCCCTGATCAAATTGTAAATAAAAGTTATTGCAAGGGAAAAAATGGCTTGCTTCCAATTTCGTAGCTCTTACAAGGAGGGAATTGCAAGCTCAGACAGACAGTCTGCATCTAGAGTAGAAGCCTATGTATCATTCATAGAGTTCTGAGTTGTTTAAGGCTTTGTAGGTCAAAACCAGCACTTTGAATTGGGCCCGGAAACTAATTGGCAGCCGGTTTAGTCAGTGTAATACTGACTGTAAAACTATTTTGCCCCGGTGAGCAGCTTGGCTCCCAAAGTCTGCACCAGCAGAAGTTTCTGAACAGTCTTCAGAGGCAGCCCTATGTATAACACGTTGCGGTAATCTAAACTAGAGGTTAGTAAAGGTAAAGGGACCCCTGACCATTAGGTCCAGTCGTGACCGACTCTGAGGTTGCGGTGCTCATCTCGCTTTATTGGCTGAGGGAGCTGGCGTACAACTTCCGGGTCATGTGGCCAGCATGACTAGGCCGCTTCTGGCGAACCAGAGCAGCACACGGAAACGGCATTTACCTTCCTGCCGGAGCGGTACCTATTGATCTACTTGCACTTTGACGTGCTTTCGAACTGCTAGGTTGGCAGGAGCAGGGACCGAGCAACGGGAGCTCACCCCGTCATGGGGATTCGAACCGCTGACCTTCTGATCAGCAAGTCCTAGGCTCTGTGGTTTAACGCACAGCGCCACCCGCGTCCCCTAGAGGTTACCAGAGCATAAACAACAGCAGTTAGGCTATCCCTTTGCAGATACAGTAGGGGTGCAGCTGGGCCACCAGCCAAAGCTAATAGAAGGTACTCAGCGCCACTGAGGCCACCTGAGCCTCAAGTGACAGCAAGGGATTCAGAAGTAACCCCAAGCTGCATGCCCGCTCCTTCAGAGGGAGTGTAATGCCATCAAGAGCTGGCAATCTCCCAGCCATCCAGTCTGGGGAACTGCCACTCACAGGGTCTCCGTCTTATCTGGATTGAGCTTCAGTTTGTGGGCTCTTGTTTCCATTTCCGACGCAAGACACCCGTCCAGCACCTCCACTGCCATGCCTGCAGATGTAAAGGAGAAATAGAGATTTGTATCATCAGCATATTGTTGGCAACATACTCTAAACCTCCGGATAACCCTGTAAGTAAAGGGTGGCCAAGTTCTGTACAGTGGTACCTCGGGTTACATGTGCGCTTCAGGTTACGCACTCCGCTAACCCAGAAATAGTACCTCGGGTTAAGAACTGTGCTTCAGGATGAGAACAGAAATCGTGCTCCGGCGGCGCGGCGGCAGCAGGAGGCCTCATTAGCTAAAGTGGTGCTTCAGGTTAAGAACAGTTTCAGGTTAAGAACGGACCTCCGGAACGAATTAAGTACTTAACCCGAGGTACCACTGTATTCTTGTAGTGGAGCCGGGGGTAGGCTACCTACTCTATGCAGCAGTTGTAAAAGTGTGGGGCTGAAACTTTATTTCACCCCACAAAATCTCTCCTAGGTGCTCAGTGTCTGTAGTAGTCAGTAGCCTGCAGTAGTAAGAGCAGCCTTCATCAAGCTGGTTTCCTTCAGATATTTCGGAGTGCAATTTCCATTAGCTGACACATGGAGGAAACATGGAAAACTGCTTTTGAGTCAAACCAGGGATGGGCAGTGAAAACTTTGTCAGGATTTTTTTTAAAAAAGACACCCTTGGGGCTATCAGATCCGTCACTCGGGCTCTGGTTGACAAGCCCATATTAATTTTATTATATCATGCTTCTGCACTTACTTTCACAGTTTATTTAGAGAGCAAACCCTAAACACGCTTGCTAAGGAGGAAGGATTACTGAGCACAATGAGAATTACTTTAGAGTCAACATTCATTCAGCTGCGCTGTCAGCCCAGCATTAGTTTTCCAGATCTTGTTTGACATTTGCATGCTGCCAGATTAATCTGGCTGCAAAGAACACTATCGCCTGCAGGTAGAGAAGTAAATACACTGATAATATTTGAGTGGCTTGACAGTTGTGTCGGCACATGGAAGCGATGCAGTTTAGCAAGTGAAGCAAGAAACCTCTAAGAGACGTAGCTGCTTCAGAGGTCAATTTTGGGAGGGGTTGCATAAGGTTGCCATATAAAGGTAAAGGGACCCCTGACCATTAGGTCCAGTCGTGGCCGACTCTGGGGTTGCGGCGCTCATCTCGCTTTATTGGCCGAGGGAGCCAGCGTACAGCTTCCAGGTCATGTGGCCAGCATGACAAAGCCGCTTCTTGCGAACCCGAGCAGCACACAGAGATGCCATTTACCTTCCCGCCAGAGCAGTACCTATTTATCTACTTGCACTCTGACGTGCTTTCGAACTGCTAGGTTGGCAGGAGCAGGGACCGAGCAACGGGAGCTCACCCCGTCGTGGGGATTTGAACCGCCGACCTTCTGATCGGCAAGTCCTAGGCTCTGTGGTTTAACCCACAGCGCCACCCATGTCCCAGGGTTGCCATATATTGAAGAGCAAAAAGAGGACAGCCTGAGATGCTGCCAGCTTGAGATGGGGAAAGAGGTGCACAGGCGCAGGGCCCTTGCTGCGATGCCCCCATGCCTCTTTCCCAGCTCCGGTTGGCAGTGCCTGCGGCGTGCAGAGCAGCCCGAGCCCAATCCTTGCTGCGACCTGATCTTTGCTGCAACGGTCTCGCTCCACTGCGGCGCTTCTGCTTCCGGGGTACAGGGCCCTCTCAAACATACACATGCCCCCCCCAACACAGACATTTCCTTTAAAATGTAAAAATCTCCCCAGATGGGCATGTTGGCACCCAAAAGGAGAACCCTAGGGAAACTGTTCTTAACCTGAGGTACCACTTTAGCTAATGGGGCCTCCTGCTGCCACTGCGCCACCAGAGCACGATTTCTGTTCTCATCCTGAAACAAAGTTCTTGACCCGAGGTACTATTTCTGGGTTAGCGGAGTCTGTAACCTGAAGTGAATGTAACCCGAGGTACCACTGTATCAGGAAATGGTGTTTCCAAGCAGACCCCTATAATCTCGTACTTGTGTGGCTTCTGATAAGAGTCTCCAGGCCCCTGGAATGACACCGAGGGAAATTTGCGACAGTTTCCCAACAGAGTTGAAAGGGTGGCTGTGGCGATCACACAGGGTCCCCGGACGTTTGACGGTCTATTGATCCCTGTGCCACCACTGTGATTGCTTTCCCGCTGCCACCAACCCGTTTTTCTCGGGTACACACGGAGTCTAGACAGTTGTTAACATTAACAAATAACCAAGTTTATTTTATAGGCATGAACAAGTTTATGGTTTCAGTTAATTTTTATTGGCAGTTTCTTAATCTTAGTTTTTTTACTGATCTATATGTTCCTAATGGGACGTGGGTGGCGCTGTGGGTAAAACCTCAGCGCCTAGGACTTGCCGATCGCATGGTCGGCGGTTCGAATACCCGCGGCGGGGTGCGCTCCTGTCATTCGGTCCCAGAGCCTGCCAACCTAGCAGTTCGAAAGCACCCCCGGGTGCAAGTGGATAAATAGGGACCGCTTACTGGCGGGAAGGTAAACGGCGTTCCGTGTGCTGCGCTGGCTCGCCAGATGCAGCTTTGTCACGCTGGCCACGTGACCCGGAAGTGTCTCCGGACAGCGCTGGCCCTCGGCCTCTTGAGTGAGATGGGTGCACAACCCTAGAGTCTGTCAAGACTGGCCTGTACTGGCAGGGGTACCTTTACCTTTACCTATGTTCCTAACAACTTCAAACTGATTATCTCAAATATCTATCTGACTCCACCTAACAATTCCTCTCACTCTCTCACAACACGACTCGACCAACCCACAGACTTATCCTCCCTCTCTCTTCTCTAACACATGACTGACTCCTTAATAACTCTAACTCCTCCCCTTGGGTTCCCACTGGCCAATCACTTCACACTCATTGAACCCTTTCCTTATGACCCACCTAAGAGGCAAACGCCACAGTAGCAAACCACTTTTATATATTTTATTTGTCAAAGGGTGCTTTTTTATTATTTTTTTTAAAAAGTGCATTTATCACAGCCTGCAATGAGCGGTTTGACATGTAGGTTACGAGTTGCTGAGCTGGCAGTCTCTGAAGGTCGTGCTTATGTTACAGGTTTCATTCCAGGCCATTTCTGAGTCTCCAGGACTGAGTCCTGCTGGCAGAAAATCTCGGGCTGTGTACTGTACATTTGGCCGCCGCCGCCACAGCAATTCATCTTCTAGCTGTCTAAAGGCCTTCTTAACATTTCCCTACTGAAACTTAAATACAGTCACAGATGTTCACTGTTAGCTGAGCTCACTGCTCTGCTGACCTCTTTTTTTAGCAGCCGGGGGGGGGGCAGTATTTATTTATTTTTTAAAAACCACATTCACTTATTCATTGACTTGTTCAAAGCCTTAATACGTGGCATTCACATATAATGTACTGCATATGTGCAAAGCTTTGCTTGCGTTCTGTGGAAGGCGGCTGGCTGCAACACTCATTCCACTACAGTGGTACCTTGGGTTAAGTACTTAATTCGTTCCAGAGGTCCGTACTTAACCTGAAACTGTTCTTAACCTGAAGACCACTTTAGCTAATGGGGCCTCCTGCTGTTGCCGCGCCGCGGGAGCACGATTTCTGTTCTCATCCTGAAGCAAAGTTCTTAACCTGAAGCACTATTTCTGGGTTAGCGGAGTCTGTAACCTGAAGCGTATGTAACCCAAGGTACCACTGTACTAGCTTATGGTTTTTTTTTCTGCATGTACATAAGAGGAAGGTGACAGATGTATTGTACCTCGGTTTACATACGCTTCAGGTTACAGACTGAAATACATAATCAAAATAAAAACAACAACCCAATAACCCCCACCCCAAAAAAGCACATTTCAAAAGGGCATAGGATCCTCACAACATTTAAAGTAAGACAATTAACAAACCTAGACAAGAGCCAATCATTGGAAAGACCATGATCTCAGAAATGTTTGCAGCAATATTTATTGGCCACCAAATTATCCAGGTGCCTTTCTGATACAAAGACAAAAAAACCTTTGAAATAAGAAAAAAAAATTAGCTGTGGTTGTTGAGCAGATGTAATACTATTCAAAAATAGTTTTAAAAACTTAGAATTACAGAAAATGCAATCATCTGAATATACAAGTCCTATGAGATTGACATACTGTTGTTTAACTGTTAGTAGATGAATACAGAGTGATTCTTTGCAATGTTAATATGATGCTGGTTCATGTCTGCTTTTTCTTTATTGATTACCAGGCGAATACCTACGAGAAGTACTGGGGGTTCTATCAGAAGTATGGAGGCCAGAGTTTCCCCCAGGATCACGTGAAGAAAGCAATTGCTGAAATTGAAGAGATGTGCAATATTCTGAAAATGGAAGGAGTGATTGTGAGAAGACCAGAGCCACTTGACTGGTCGACCAAATATAAAACGCCTGACTTTGAGTCCACCGGTAATTGCTCAGTGACTTGGAATGTGCAGAATCGATTTAGAGCATGTCCACATCTAAGCCGTACATGTAAAGCACATGGGAATCCTGGGAAATGTAGTTTAAGGGTGCCGGGAATTGTAGCTCTGTGATGGGTAAGCTGCAGGATTCTTTGGAGGAAGCCATGACTGCGAAAAGTGGTAAAAACGGGCTTAAAATGTACATTCTGGATGTGAACCATGTCTCCGTCTCCTCACTATTTTATAAAGTATTATTTATTCGTTATTGATGAGATTTGTTTCCTCTTTAAAAAAACAAAAAAACTTTAAGTCCTAATGACAATTCATAAAGGACAACAAGACCCTACCGTTAAGCAACTTAGTGTATTGCTATCTATAGTTTCACAGGGACTTCATGTTGTTTACAGTAAAATAGTACAGTCCCTTCTGTTAATCTAGATCAGGGGTTGGCAAGGCTTACTGAAATATACTCGGAGACGAGAGTGGATTTCATGCTCTTTATTCAGCTCATAGTGGTGAGGAGGAATGGAAGTTCCCCCAGAATGTCTGCTTTATATACATTATTTACACAATGGGCCCCACCTCATTGGCTAATTCCGGGATTCTCCTGTAGGCCAATCAGGTTGCGGATTCACCTCCACCTGGAGCTGGATTGGGTGGCTCCTGTGGACCAATCAGACTGCTGCATTCTGGATCCTATTGTTCTAGGACCAATCAGGCTGCTGCATTCTGGATCCTATTGTTCTAGGACCAATCAGACTGCTGCATTCTGAATCCTATTGTTCCAGGACCAATCAGACGGCTGCATTTTAGATCCTATTCAACTCAGTACATAACACTTACCTTGCCTGGGCCGGTTCACTGCCATGGAGACCCCTCCGTGGGCCCGATTGCGGGCGCGCATGAGTGTGCGTGTCCACAATTTTCAGCATCTGTGTCTGCGCAGACGCGATTTCTGGCGCTACTCAGCGAGTCCCCACACCGCACTGTGCCAGTTTAACGCAGCACGCGGGGACTCGCCGAGCGGGTGGCTCGGTTTGGGGGCAGCTCGTGGGCCGGTAAAATGACCCCTGTGGGCCACTTGTGGCCCATGGGCCTTAGGATGTCGGCCCGTGATGTAGATCTTGCTAGGCCTACATAGACATCACTGTTGTGCTGTTGTGATGTGCTTTAGGCACACAGTGGAGCAGCCATGATGGATTAAAATGGATGACACGCTAAAATGTTTGTCTGCCCCATACAAACTACTTGAAATTGAGTGCAGTGTTTTGCTGCTTTTTGATAAAGGCTTGGCATTCTGGTTAAGAGTGGCAGAAACACAGCCATATCCCCAAAAGAAGGTTGGGTCCTAACACATTTTGGCAAACCGACGCTGGGAATCGAGTTCATTTGTTTTGGTTACATTAAGTAGCCTGTGGTTTGTTTGTTGTTTTGCTTGATGTGTGCAAGCTTTACTCCCTCTTCCACTGGGTTGCTACTGAGCAAAATCGAACCTTGACTGGGATCCAGTGTGCAGGATTTGTGCCGCTGTTGATTGGATCCCCGGATCAAACACTTTGTTCTTTTGGTAGGGATGTATGCAGCTATGCCAAGAGACATTCTGCTGGTCATTGGGAACGAGATCATTGAAGCGCCAATGGCTTGGCGCGCCCGTTTCTTTGAATACAGAGCGTACCGGCCCATCATCAAAGAGTACTTCCGCCGCGGATCAAAATGGACCACAGCACCAAAGCCCACCATGGCTGATGAACTTTATGACCAGGTATTATTATCCAATTGGCTTTCAAGGAAGCAACTATGGTGGAAGGAGCAAGGGTACCTTCCTGGTGTTATTGGAGTACAGCTCCCATCATCCCTGACCATTGATTGGCCATGTTGGTGTTCCACAGGGCAGGCGCCACTACCGAGAAGGCCCTCTGCCTGGTTCCCTATAGCTTTGCTTCTCACAATGAGGGAACCACCAGAAGGCCCAAATCATAGTACAAATCATACTACAAATCATAGTACCACTCGCTGGAGCAGCTCGGATAGATAAAAATCCTAACAGTTGGCAGGGGGTGATGGGAGCTCAATACCAACAATAATATCTGCAGGACCATCCGTGTTCCTCGCCCCAGAACTCAGAGTTTGGCCACAGCTTGTCTGCATTGGCAACCCTCCCTGCTAGAACTATCAACCCCGGAAAAGCTTAGGCCAGGCTTCCTCAACCTTGGCCCTCCAGATGTTTTGAGACTACAATTCCCGTCATCCCTGACCACTGTTCCTGCTAGCCAGGGATCATGGGAGTTGTAGGCCCAAAACATCTGGAGGGCTGAGGTTGAGGAAGCCTGGCTTAGGCAGATCAGAGGTTTAGAAATGGCGCCGTGTGATTGCCCCGAGTAGTGGGAACAGTCCTAGCGAAGGCCTGTGTGTGTTTTGTCTTTCTGAAACCAGGATTACCCCATTCGCACTGTGGAAGACAGGCACAAGCTGGCTGCACAGGGCAAATTTGTCACAACTGAATTTGAGCCGTGCTTTGACGCTGCGGATTTCATACGAGCCGGAAGAGACATCTTTGTGCAAAGAAGTCAGGTGAGCAGATCGGTTCCTTTTTTTGCAGTATAATTTTTTATTAATTTTTTCAAACATCTGCACCATAATCTTCTTATCAAATAGTTACATTGTTTCATAAATTGACTTCCCACTCTCATTTCTGCAGTCTTTTTACTCAGACCGTCTCTACTGCATTATATCTTTATCTATTACAAAAGTTTCTCTGGTGCAATTATTTTATCATTTTTTTCTTCCTCTGCTTTTAGCTAGAATCCAGACTTCAATTTCATTTGGCTATAGTGTTTTTAAAAATAGTCCATTCTTCTATGAAAAGTTCACCATTTTGATCTCTTAATTTCACTGTCAGCTTTGCCATTTCTGCGTAGTCCAACAACAAAATTACATCCATTATTCATTTTTTAGTTAGATTTATTTGTTGGTTAGTAAACGGGTGGCGCTGTGGGTAAAACCTCAGTGCCTAGGACTTGCTGATCGTAAGGTCGGCGGTTTGAATCCCCGTGGCGGGGTGAGCTCCCGTCGTTCGGTCCCAGCTCCTGCCCACCTAGCAGTTCGAAAGCACCCCTAAGTGCAAGTAGATAAATAGGGACGGTTTTCTAGCGGGAAGGTAAATGGCGTTTCCGTGTGCGGCGCTGGTGCTGGCTCGCCAGATGCAGCTTCGTCACGCTGGCCACGTGACCGGGAAGTGTCTTCGGACAGCGCCGGCTCCCGGCCTCTTGAGCGAGATGAGCACGCAACCCTAGAGTCGGTCACGACTGGCCCGTACGGGCAGGGGTAACTTTACCTTTACCTTACCAACTTTTATGCCAACTTTGAAAAGCCTGCTGAAAACTTTTCTATTCCACTACGCCTATGCAGACAATTAAGAATACACCCCCCCAATGCTGTATTGATGTTCAATTTAAATGTCTGCCTCTCTCTGTCCCTCCATTGCTTCAAGTTGGCGGAGTTTTGCGTTTTGGGAATACAATGATCGGTGTTAATGTGGCGTGCGTTTGTTAGCGGCGGAGATTAGATGAGCGATTTATGTCATTCCCCCTTTAAAAAAGCTCAACAGCTCTTGTCAATCCTTCCCCCCCCCAAAAAAAAAGCTCAACAACTCAATGACAATGGGTAGATCAGGTAGATCACTGCCATTTTTTAAAAATACTGGGAGTAGATCGAAGTCTCTTGGGCATTGGACGGGCCTGATATATGGCTTACTGTTGTTGCAGATATTTAGATATTTCTTCTGAAACAACTAAAAGTCTAAATCTTGCTCTCAGGTTACCAACTACTTGGGTATTGAGTGGATGCGGAGACACCTTGCGCCGGAATACAGAGTGCACACCATCTCTTTCAAAGACCCCAATCCCATGCACATTGATGCCACATTCAACATCATCGGACCGGGCCTTGTGCTTTCCAACCCAGACCGTCCGTGCAATGAGGTAAGGGGTCTTCAGACAAACTGGGGGCAAGAATATAAGAGCAGCCCTGTAAGATCTGGCCAAAGACCCATCTATTATTGCTATTATTATTATTTATTGAATTTTTATACTGCCCTATACCCAGGGGTCTCAGGGCGGTTCACAGAACGAAATCAAAATATAAAACCACAAAATAGATAATCAAAATAAAAACAGCAACCCAATGATGCCCCACCCATTTTAAAAGGGCATAGGATGTCAATCAAATCAACCAAAGTCCTGGATAAAAAGGAATGTTTTTGCCTGGTGTCTAATGAAGGTGCCAGGTGAACTTCCCTGAGGAGAGCATTCCACAGATGGGGAGCCACTGCGGAGAAGGCCCTGTTCTCGTGTTGCCACCCTCTGGACCTCTTAAGGAGGAGGCACACGAAGGAGGGCCTCAGAAGATGATCTCAGGGTCCGGGTAGGTTCGTACGGGAAGAGGGGGACCTTGAGGAATTGTGGTCCTGAGCCGTTTAAGGCTTTATAGTTCAAAACCAGCACTTTGAATTGGGCCCGGTAACTAATTAGTAGCCAGTGCAGTCAGACCAGGATCAGTATAATATGCTCAAACCGTCTTGCTCTGGTGAGCAACCTGGCTGCTGAATTCTGCACCAGCTAAAGTTTCTGAACAATCTTCAGAGGCAGCCCTACGTATATTGCACGGCAGTAATCTAGTCCAGTATCCTGTTCTCACAGGGGTCAACCCATGGGAAATCAGGACCCCCAAGCACAAGAGCGCCCCCCCCCCATCTGCAGCTTCCAGCAACTGGTATTCAGAAGCATCACATCCTCTGACCATGGAGGCAGAACATAGCCTTTGTGGGTAGTAGCCCTTGATAGCTTTCTCCTCCATGAATTTGTCTAACCCTCTTTTAAAGCCAGCCAAATTGGTAGCCATCACTGTTTCCTGAGGGAGCAATTTCTGGTGTACTTCTAGGCCTCCTCCCTGCGGCACTAGCTGATTATGTGCAGGGAGTTTGATGCAGGAGAATATTCAAACATCCTGTTCACCCACCTCCATTCTTAAAGTGGTAGAGTCCTGCCAGGAGAACGGAAGAGCCCTGTTGAATCAGACACAATGGCCAGTCTAGGCCCACAGGTGCTTTCGGGAAGCTTGCAAGCCGAGACTTTTCTGAACCCTTTGAACAAGTCGCTGGGTGTCTCGTCAGCAATGGTTAACTAAGCCAAACATTATTTAAGCCCTTGTTTTTGCAGCTGACCTTGGGCAATTGCGTGCAAAGGTTGTGGTTCCTTTCTACAGCTCTTAAATTTGTGTGGGCTCTTCCTTGGACTCTTGATCTGTTTTTGCTCCAGCTAACAAAAGGACTGTACAGTGGTACCTCGGGTTACAGACGCTTCAGGTTACATACGCTTCAGGTTACAGACTCCGCTAACCCAGAAACAGTACCTCGAGTTAAGAACTTTGCTTCAGGATGAGAACAGAAATCGCACAGCGGGGGCGGGGCCATTAGCTAAGTGGTGCTTCAGGTTAAGAACAGTTTCAGGTTAAGAACGGACCTCTGGAACGAATTGAGATCTTAACCCGAGGTACCACTGTAGTGAGGGAAGCAGGTGGCACTGTGGGTTAAACCACAGAGCCTAGGACTTGCCAACCAGAAGGTCAGCGGTTTGAATCCTCGCGATGGAGTGAGCTCCCGTTGCTCGGTCCCAGCTCCTGCCAACCTAGCAGTTCGAAAGCACATCAAAGTGCAAGTAGATAAATAGGTACCGCTCCGGCGGAAAGGTAAATGGCGCTTCCATGCGCTGCGAGATGAGAGCCGCTACCCCAGAGTCGGTCACTACTGGACCTAATGGTCAGGGGTCCCTTTACCTTTACCATGCAGTCGATTGCTTCATTTAGCAGAACTATTGCTCCGTTTGTTACCCTGCAGCTTCCTTGGGCAGAAAGATGCATGTAGCCAGTGCCAGATTTACGTATAAGCTAAACAAGCTATAGCTTAGGGCCCCACTCTCTTGAAGCCCCCCCAAAAAAGGAAAATAAAACTGGATGTACATTTCCAAAATATAAGATAAAAAACAAATAAAATAAAACCTACATACAGCAACAGTGTTTTGTGTTGTGTAGGCTCCTATGATGTAAGTAATGGGCCCCGGCTGCTAGCCTGCTCCCTAAAATATCACTGGTTTGGTGCTATTATTTCATGTTATAGCAAGTTTCTAGAGACTAGATTATGAGTCTTTGTAAATTGTGTTTCTAAAGGAAATTCTGTTATTGCCAAATGCCAGTGTGTTTGCATTATTAAGTTTGTTATGAATAAAAAATCATTTTAATTTAGAGCTTAATAATTATTTCACTATTAATATACTTCTTAATTGTATTTCACTATCAATATACTTCTTCTTAATTGTATTTCAGTTCAACAATTGCTTTGATAAAATACATATTTTGTTATATGCAAATGGCTTTAGATACCTATTAGGTCCATAAATTACCATGTAGCATATATTCAACACAAAAAACAGGGACTATTTATTGTTGACAAAGGACAGCTGGACATATAAAGGGACCCATTCCCTTCAGTAGCTTAGGGCCTCATCTAAACCTAAATCTGGCCCTGCATGTAGCATATGGGGAATACGTTTATCTACATGAGAGGAATGGCCTACAAAAGCTGGCATGAGTGCTAGAGGGGAAGAAATTAGTGTGTGCTCCCTTTTAAAATATCTTGTCCGGTGGGGGTGCTAGAATCATCTGACGGGCCTCTGTGGGAAGGAGAATAGTGGACAAGATGGACTTTGGGTCTGATCCAGGATAGCTCTTGATCTTCCTTTGCAGTGGGTGGCCAAAGGAGGATGTGGAGTGTTTTCTAGGGTGCTATCTGCACTATAATTTAAATCAGTACAATACCGCTTTAAACAGCCATGGCTTCTGCGGCAACCTTCCTTAGTAAAGATGGGAGTAAGGTAACATGACCGGATTTTGGGGTGGTTTTAAAATTTAGACTCTCCCTGTCTAAATTTTTAGAGGTCTGCATGTCTAGGCCTGCACTGATTGCGTGTCAGTTGAGAAGTACAAAGTACAATGTCATTGCATGTGAAATATAATATACTGAAACTGGATCCCATCAGACTGCAAACATTTTAGGAATATTTGAGCAATTGGAAAATATTAGACACCAGTGTCAGCACAATACATTTAGCTCCAGACTGAAATTGCATTCACATGGCAATCTATTCCATTTTCATAAAATGTTTCCCTAACTGATAATTTCCACATTATTTTTCAGCTTTCACACAATTTAAAAGCCACCTCTGGAGCTATTGTGCTATATAGTAGCACTCGCTTCCATATTATTTGCAAATGGATTCTTTTCTGGAAGCAAATAACATGGACTTGACTGCTAAACTTGAACTATATTTCACTATAGTTACAGAAGAGGCTTTTATGATGTGTGAAAGCTCAGATATAATGTGGAACTTAGAGGAAAGATTGAAAATGGAATGAAGTGCCATGAAAAAAAGGATGCTCAATGTCTTTCTTTGATGTGCAAGTAGAGAGCCCTCTTGTGATGAAAACTAAGCAATGCAACTTCTGCAAACGATACTAAAGGTAAAGGTAAAGGTACCCCTGCCTGTACGGGCCAGTCTTGCCAGACTCTAGGGTTGTGCGCCCATCTCACTCTATAGGCCAGGGGCCAGTGCTGTCCGCAGACACTTCCGGGTCACGTGGCCAGCGTGACAAAGCTGCATCTGGCGAGCCAGCGCAGCACACGGAACGCCGTTTACCTTCCCGCTAGTAAGCGGTCCCTATTTATCTACTTGCACCCGGGAGTGCTTCCGAACTGCTAGGTTGGCAGGCGCTGGGACCGAGCAACGGGAGCGCACCCCGCCGCAGGGATTCGAACCGCCGACCTTTCGATCGGCAAGTCCTAGGCGCTGAGGCTTTAACCCACAGCTCCACCCGCGCCACCCGCCACCCCGTGCAAACGATACTACATTTTCCTATAAAGACCTCGGGGCCAAACTAGATTTGATGAGGATGCATATTTTCATTTTAGCATGCATGCATTTTAACATGCAAATGCCAAGAGTAGCAATGGCGATCATAATAAGGATTGTAGGAGGCAAGGTCACGGGTTTGATCCCTGTTTGAGTGCACATTCCTGAATTGTAATGGGTTGGACTACTAGATTATCAATGGAGTCCCGTCTTAACCCTTTCCTCTCCTTCTGTGATCCCGCAAGACACACCCTCTTCTGTGGGTGCTTGTTTGCATTGGGAATAAATCCCACAATGGTTTAAAAAAATCTCTTCAAAATTGAATCTCTTCAATTTGAATCTCTATCTCTTTTAGATCGATCTCTTCAAGAACGCAGGCTGGACGGTGGTTCACCCTCCATTGCCCCTGATCCCTGACGGTATGTTTAGCTTATTCCCAATTTTGAAGACGAGTTTTGCAAAGCAGAAGTCCCAGACTTCACCCACCCCATGGGAGTGCTAAGTATTATTTCCTGTTTATATTTGCATCCAGACCACCCACTGTGGATGTCCTCTAAGTGGCTCTCTATGAATGTCCTGATGCTGGATGAAAAACGTGTGATGGTCGATGCCAACGAAACTCCAATCCACAAGCTGTTTGAAAGTCTCGGTGGGTCAAAATGTTTAGGGATGTGTATAGATGCCAGGAGAGGTTATATTTATTAGATAATATCCTTCCTTCCTTCCTTCCTTCCTTCCTTCCTTCCTTCCTTCCTTCCTTCCTCATGCTTGTGAGTTCAGCAGAATGCATCCCTTTGCAGCTTAAAATAGGTTAGTTTTAGCCTTTTAATTTAAGTAATCCAGGATGCTTTAAGGAGGACTGGATTCTCCTGGTATTTTCCATATTCTCCCTCCTGAAAATAATCACCTATTGTAAGAAAAAAGAAAGTAAAACAGTCTTGTAAAAAATGACATTTACTCATTCAGTATTCCCCATTGAAGAATAGTAGAGTAACAGCAGCTTTGTTCAGGCAGGCTTAAAACGATAATCCAGTTACAAATACATACTTTAGTTCAAAATGGAGTCAGTGTGGCTCAGACTTAGCATATGTTAAAATTCATGGAATGAGGCGAAAGAGCAAAGAGAATGTGCCTAACCAGGTGAGGCTACACCATAGCTGTCAAGCGTCCCTTATTTGGCGGGACAGTCCCTTATCCCAGAGCCATGTCCCGCTGCTGTCCCTTATTGATGAGGCTTCGTTTGGCTGCTGGCTGGGCTTTCTGCCTTTGGCTCGGAAGGGCTCAGAAGTAGAACATACCTGTACCTGGAAAATCCCTTATTTTGGCTGCTGGTCCCTTATTTTCAAATCTGTAAGTTGACAGCTATGGGCTACACTTTCCCACTGTCAAGGCACATTGGGAGTGGCTCTCAAGAGTTCTGTCTAGCAAACTTACAGGAAAACTCTGTGAGCTTCAGCTCCTATCATGTGCCTGTCTAGCAAACATGCATTGTTGGTTTGACTGCATTGTAAATATCCCATGCAATGTGGTGTAAAGGTAAAGGTAAAGAGACCCCTGACCATTAGGTCCAGTCGTCAACTCCGGGGTTGCGGCGATCATCTCGCTTTACTGGCCAAGGGAGCCGGTGTACAGCTTCCGAGTCATGTGGCCAGCATGACTAAGCCACTTCTGGCGAAACAGAGCAGCGCACGGAAACGCCGTTTACCTTCCCGCCGGAGCGGTACCTATTTATCTACTTGCACTTTAATGTGCTTTTGAACTGCTAGGTTGGCAGGAGCAGGGACCGATCAATAGGAGCTCACCCCGGCATGGGGATTTGAACCGCCGACCTTCTGATCGGCAAGTCCTAGTCTCTGTGGTTTAACCCACAGTGCCACCCACGTCCCTAATGTAGTGTGTAAGTGAAGCTTAAAGGAGCAGTTAATTGGCATTGCTGCAGTCGCATGACGGAGAAGGTGATGAATATGGCTCTGCCCCAGGGCCTCTCTAGGTCAGAAACAGGAAAACCTGTGACTCCTCTATGCTGGTCCTACCATCCTTGGTCATGCTGGTTGGAGCTTATGGGAGTTGGAGTCCAACCGTCAGGACACAATTTTCCCCATCCCTACTCTTTGGCAACTCTTAAGGCAGGTGTGGGGGACTTTTGACCCTCCAGATGTTCCTGAACTTCAAAACCCATCACCCCTGGGCCATGCCAGCTGGGGAAGGTGCAGAGATATGAAGAACCAGATTTAAGCCTGGAAAAATAAGAAATTTGAGAGAACTGAAATTGTCTGAGCCATTTGGGGGTAGCTTGGCCAAAATGGCCTCGCAGGAGGATCCCCACTGTTGGGAGAGGGGGTTCAATCCCAAATCTCCTTAAAATATGCCCCAAACACTCTATGACACTGTGCTGTGTTGTAAAGATAAAAAAAGGTAAAGGACCCCTGGACGGTTAAGTCCAGTCAAAGGAGACTATGGGGTTGCGGCGCTCATCTCACTTTCAGGTCGAGGGAGCCGGCATTTGTCCACTGACAGCTTTCTGGGTCATGCCTTCCCCTAATGTAATGTCTACTATTGACAATGATGAGTTAATTCCTCGCTCTGGGCAATCCTAGCCTGACAGCGCTATGACACACATTATTTTTTTAATGAAATTTCTACCTCACCTTTCCTCCCAGTCTCATTTTGCTGCATTCACTGGGGGATATCCAACACTGGTCATAATAATTAGTTCATAAACTATTGAATTCAGTGGGTCTAGGTAAAAAAAGTAAAGGACCCCTGGACGGTTACGTCCAGTCAAAGACGACTATGGGGTTGCGGCGCTCATCTCGCTTTCAGGCCGAGGGAGCCGGCGTTTGTCCACAGACAGCTTTCCGGGTCATGTGGCCAGCAGGACTAAACCACTTCTGGCACAACAGGACACCGTGACGGAAGCCAGAGCACACGGAAATGCCATTTACCTTCCCGCCACAGCAGTACCTATTTATCTACTTGCACTGGTGTGCTTTCGAACAGCTAAGTTGGCAGGAGCTGGGACAGCAATGGGAGCTCACCCTGTCGTGTGGATTCGAACTGCCAACCTTCTGGTCAGCAAGCCCAAGAGGCTCAGTGGTTTAGACCACAGAGCCACCCGCGTCCCCGGACTGTGTTGTAAACAGAGGAGGAGCTGGCCCGGGTACCAGACATGCTTGCTCAGCTCCTCATAACCCTGTGTGTAAATCTGAGTCAACCTTCACCAAAGGGTCTTGCTTCGCTTTCTTTTCCTCTGCAGGCATTTCGACAGTCAAAGTGAACATCCGCCATGCCAATTCCTTGGGAGGAGGCTTCCACTGCTGGACCTGCGACATCCGCCGTCGTGGTACCCTGAAGTCTTACTTTGATTAGGAAGGGTGCAGCTTTGTGAAGCTGCACGTGGTTAAGTTTGCATGAGCTAGGCATAGGCAAATGAAGAAGAGGAGATCGGTTTCATCTTTCTGCTTAAAAAGGGTGCGAGTGCATGGACTGCAATGCTTGGGACAGCGCCCACCTCCCCACCCACCCCAACGGCGGTAACAGGAACAATGTGCCCTAAGAGCCTATTCACACATTACATAGAGGCAAGCCCAAAATGTGGCTGTATGTTCTGTTTTTCCCCCTTTCCCATTAATGCATATATTTGTTCAGAAGTAAGCTCCACTGTGCTGGACGTGGCTCATTTCAGGATTGCAGCCTTAAATCACTAAATCCACTTATCTTTTTAAAAAATTCCTTTTTTAGAAGATGCCTACATTTATTTTCAAAGGGCTCCTGCTCCTCTTGGTTTGATCCAGACTGTTAGTTGCTGTTGGGTCCCAACTGAAATCAGTAGAACACTCTGTTGGTTAGAGCATGGCGCTGATATTGCCAAGGTTGCAGTTTCAGTCCTTCGGGGTCCCTTCCATTTCTACAATTCTATGGAAGTGACCTGTTGCTGGCCTTATTTCCATAGGACCTCAGTTCCTCTGGCATACTCTGAATCTACAAAGCGCTGCTGAAACTTTTGTTACGTGAATACAATACTGGTAACGACACACACGATGTAACAGGCTGTATGTAACTGTGTAAATTCTATTTCAAAAAACAATTCAACAGATCATATCACAATATGTAATTCCATAGACCAATTTATCATATGAGCGGCACATATTCTGAGAGATTAAAGTCCAGCAGATTGATCAGGAGATACAGTCTATTCAGTTCTTATGTTAAGAACATAAGATCCTGATTCGACCTGACTGGAATAGTCTGCGACCAGGAGGAGGAATACCAGGAAGAATGGATGGACTATTTCGCTAAATATGTTAAGATAACTTAATTGGAAAAGCTTGCAAATATTAGATAGGCTTAGGATTCAAATATGTAAGGATAGGAATTAAGATGTTTAAAGCTAAATTAGAAAGAATGAAAGATGTTAAGTGATTAAGTTAATTTTTTGAGAAAATTGATTTTGGAAAACTGTTAAAATGATATACCCTGAAATTCAACCCAGGGGGATTTGGGGAAGTCATTTAACAATGTTATCAAGATTGGTTTAATTACGGTTGGGATTTATGTTTGTTTGTTTTAAATTTTTTTGGAAAATAAAAAAAAATGGGGGGGTGGTGAGATCCTGATTAATCCGCTGGACTTTAATCTCTCAGAACATGTTCCGCTCATATGATAAGTTGGTCTATGGAATTACATACTGTGATATGATCTGTTGAATTGTTTTTTGAAACAGAAGTTACACAGTTGTGGTTCGAGGACCCGATCCCCGCTTTGTGGAATGAAGACACACAGACACAGAATATAAGGTTAATGGGCAAGAAAAGGCCACAACTTTATTGATTACAGCAAGTGAGAAGGTATTGGCTTAGGCATTGGACCACGACAGATTGACTCCACCCACTCGGAGAGGGGTGAGCCCAAAGGGGGTTTATTAACCAGAAGGTGGAGCCTGTTGATGCTAATACAACTATAAGCTCTCCCCCTGATGTCACCGAGGGTCGTGCCATGGCCCCCCACCACACAGGCATCGGACAGGATCCACGACCGCCGGATTCCTTTAACGGAATACCCAAAATTTGAAGGGGTAGGCGATGGCCACACCTAGCCCTTCCACACACCAACAACACATTCCCATGCCTAACCTAGCAGTTACATACAGCCTGTTACGTCGTGTGTGTCGTTACTCTGAATCTAACTTTTCCTGTATAGGTTCTGTAGCCTTTAAAACAACTTGGGTGCGCCCTCAAACGCTGTAATGTGTGAATTGGCCCTTAGCTCGTCTAGGCCAAAGTTGCAACTCCTCATCAGCAGTACAGGTCTTCTGGCTGGCTTTTTGAAAGACTTCCACCTCCCCGTGAAGTCCCTTCTTACCTTCACTTCCAGGATGCACAAACTTCAACAGTACTTTTCAGCCTCATAGAGGTCAACTGGTTGATCTACATCTACCTCTTTTCGAAAAGGCAGCTAGAAAGGTTAGACCTGAGTTTTAACAGAAATCTTTCCAGTATCTTTTTCTAGTTTGAGTGTGTTTGTGGATGCACATCACACTTCATAAAATCTAAGGCAAAATATTTAAATACACAGATCTTATGTGGACCTTGGTTTTTACTGATTTTGTATAAGCTATTTAGGTTAGTTTGACTTATGTTGTTGTTGCTGTTTTGAAAAGGTTAAGCCCCACACTGATGCGGCTGTAACTGAATTTATTAATCCTGTAGGAATCATATAATGCCCTCTGTGGACCCTCTTGACACCCATTCATTGGAGTAGGGGAGCTATGTGCTTGCAATCTATCACACAAAGGCTAGGGGTCCTCGTGAATTGAATTTGGTCTGCATTTTTCAGCAAACAAGCCTGATTTGGGGGTTCCTGGTTTGCTACACAGATTGGCCCAGTGCTATCCTTCTATTTTCCTCCCTTCTCTGTTCTTTGCGATACACTTCTGGAAGCAGCGGCCCACTTCACACAGCACGGTACGCCAAACTATGACATGCATGTCTCCTGATGTACGCTGTCAGAACTGTGCCTGACTCACTCTCCCTTTCCTGCGCCGACAGGAAGCAAACCATTGTGCCAGCTTACGGTTCAGTGCAAAATTGATCCTCAAAGTCTGTTTCTTTCCAAACCACAAGAGGGTGAGCTTTTTTCCAGCAGCATGTACCAGCATCGTTGCTTGTTCACAGCACGCCATAGCTTGAGTTTCTTTGATGGGTGAACGCAAAACCAAGTGCGTACCTTGTCATGAAATGCACACCAAAAGAATATGCGGGAAACCGTGCAACACAAAGTTATGAATGTATACAGTATTTGCAAAATTTGCCAGACCAGAAAAAGACTGATCTCTCCATCCTTAAAGTTGGCACAACCTTTGCCCTTTGAAATGGGAGATTCCTAAAGGTCCACCTTAGGAGTCCAGGCCTTCATATAGAACTCTGAACCTCATGCTTTCCCTGAATGCATGCTCCCTAGATGACTCAGTTGTTAGAACATGGTGCTGATAACACCAAGGTTGCAGGTTTGATCCCCTTATGGGTCATCTGCATATTCCTGCATTGCAGGGGGTTGGACTAGATGATCCTCAGGGTCCCTTCCACCTCTACAATTCTATGATTCTACTTAATATAATACAGAATTTTGCACGATGCAGAGAAAATGGGTAGATAATTCCCCGCCCCCCCCGGCTAGAACTTGGGGATTTTAAATGAAGCTGAATGTTGGAAGATTCAAGGCAGACAAAATAAAAGCCCTCAAGAATGATGATAATAATAATAATTTATTATTTATACCCTGCCCATCTGGCTGGGTTTCCCCAGCCACTCTGGGTGGCTTCCAGCAGAATATTAAAATACAATGATTCATCAAATATTAAAAGAATCCCTAAACAGGGCTGCCTTCAGATGTCTTCTAAAAGTCCGATAGTTGTTTATTTCTTTGACATCTGATGGGAGCGCTTTCCACAGGGCAGTAATGGCTACCAATGTGGATGGCTTTAAAAGAATAGACAAACGAATAAACATAAAAGAATAAACAAGTAAGGCTGTGCTTTACTTCTGCTGCTTCCGAATGCCAGCTGCTGGAAACCACTGAGAGCCAGTGTGGTGTAGTGGTTAAGAGCGGTAGTCTCGTAATCTGGGGAACCGGGTTCGCGTCTCCGCTCCTCCACATGAAGCTGCTGGGTGACCTTGGGCCAGTCACACTTCTCTGAAGTCTCTCAGCCTCACTCATCTCACAGAGTGTTTGTTGTGGGGGAGGAAGGGAAAGGAGAATGTTAGCCGCTTTGAGACTCCTTCGGGTAGTGATAAAGCGGGATATCAAATCCAAACTCCTCTTCTTCTTCTTCTTCACTGGAAGGGAGAAGGCTCTTGAGTTGAGGTACTGCTTACAGGTTCCCCTTGGGTCTCTAGTTGTCCACTGTTTTCATGAGGTGGTGCTAATGGCAGGGAATTCACGCACATAGCCCCTTACTCCAGTGGATGGGTCTGCAGGTGGGTCAGGAGATAGGGCATGGTCACCTTCCTACACCATCACATCCGCATAGTGCTTTCTACAGCTCTAGACTTTGTATCTAGTGCCCTGGTTTAGGAAGTAGTTCTTATTTCAATGTATCTTCTCTCGATGAACATCACTTCTGGTTTGTTTGTTTTTAAAGTTCCCATGTGTGCCAACACATTTGATTTCGTGAGCTTGTTTAGATAAAGGAAAAGCTTTTTATTGTTGTTATTATTGTTAATAATCCTTAGCAGAAATGCCAAATCGTGGGAATTTTAAGGATACCCACCAATGCTGTAAATTAAGTTTTCAATACTGATTTCCTCAATATGTATTTTTATGCCGATAAAACATGTTTGCATTTGTGAACTTTTGGTGTTTCTCGTTTTGAGGGTTGATTTTCTGCCTGGGAGAAGAATGGCTACACCCCGACCCCCACTCACCCCAGAAAACCCAAATCCTGTGTCTGTGTGTGTGTGTTTGTATTTCTGTCTTCAGACATCCACACCAAACATTTAAGGCACATTCAACACACATTTAAAACACATTACTTCACCCCCCAAATATTGGGAATGATAGCATAAGGGTGTTGGGAAACGTAGTTCTGTGACAGAGAAATGATAGTTCCCAGAGTTCAACTATTTGGTTATTTGATTGTTGTTAGCCGCCCTGAGCCCAGCTTCGGCTGGGGAGGGCGGGATATAAATAAAATTTATTATTATTATTATTATTATTATTATTAGGATATGGGGAGTCATGTGCATTGAATGTGCTTTAAATACATCTGCTCTCTGTCTGTCTCCCACAACCCGCAAACCCCATTTTCAATAGGTTATTGTATTTTAGTGTTCTGTTGGAAGCCGCCCAGACTGGCTGGGGAAACCCAGCCAGATGGGCAGGGTTTAAATAATAAATCATTATTACAGTGGTACCTCGGGTTACATACGCTTCAAGTTACATACGCTTCAGGTTACAGACTCCGCTAACCCAGAAATAGTACCTCGGGTTAAGAACTTTGCTTCAGGATGAGAACAGAAATCGCACGGCAGCGGTGCAGCAGCAGCAGCAGGAGGCCCCATTAGCTAAAGTGGTGCTTCAGATTAAGAACAGTTTCAGGTTAAGAACAGACCTCTGGAACGAATTAAGTGTGTAACCAGAAGTACCACTGTATTATTATTATTATCTTTACTATTCAGTCAGCTGCAGATACATTTATTAATTTCATAAAATTTATACATTGCTTGGTGGTAAAAACACCTCAAGGCAGTTTACGAATACAGTGGTACCTCGAGTCAAGTACTTAATTCGTTCCGAAGGTCCGTTCTTAACCTGAAACTGTTCTTAACCTGAAGCACCACTTTAGCTAATGGGGCCTCCTGCTGCAGCCGCACCGCCGGAGCACGATTTCTGTTCTCATGCTGAAGCAAAGTTCTTAACCCGAGGTACTATTTCTGGGTTAGCGGAGTCTGTAACCTGAAGCGTCTGTAACCTGAAGTGTATGTAACCCAAGGTACCACTGTGTGTGTGTGTGTAAAACAAATAATTTTTTTCAACCATACTTAACAACATACAGAAGTCAAAATACTAAAACAGATTAGAATTACCTTGACTTTCTACACACCTGAGCAGGCTTCTCTAAACAGGGATGTTTTTAGCAAGAGTACAGTGAAAGCGCCTGCTTGGTCTCAAGAGGCGGGGAGTTCCAAAGTTCAGGTGTTGCCACACTAAATAATCAAGTTCTTACAAATGTGGAATAGGTATGAGGTGGCACCTGTAGTCAAGAGGACACATGCAGTCTCCGCACCCAGCAGTCCCTTTCTCCATGCAGAGCCCAGTCTTCATTCAGTCATTTCCCCTTGTGACAGGCAACACTGAGCTAACCAGGTGTCCTCAGGGCACAGTCATTTGCATGAAAGAAGGATGTTCCTGATCAATTTCATGACCAATCAGGTGCTTGCTGAGAAGTTCCAACTTTGCCCTGCCTTGGTGCCTTCCAGATGTTGCTGGTGTTCTAAGAAAAACTGCTCCCTTTCCCTTATGGGTTATTCCGGAGCCTATATAG